ATTGTTTAAGGATGTCAAAGAAGGTTTTATAAAGATGTGGCCCCTAAATTCCTTCTTCTGAGATAAATAGGTGTTTCCCAGTCATGGAAGGGAGAAACTTTCTTCTCTCGTACTCTCTCTAAAGAAAGAAGCGTGAGTAAATGTGAAAAGTAATGAAGGAAATCGAGCAAAAGTTGGGATGGTTTCTGGCAGGTACAGGAAGGCATTCTAAGGAGAATTGACTTTATCCTGAAAATGTAATGCAGGGAGGCATTAAGGAGTTCTACAATCTGGGAAGTGATACGAGGGGGATTATTTTTGTAGCTTCCAGGTATGAAGTCTGATTTGGAGCAGTCTATCTGAGTCTCTTCCCCTCATAGGTAACTTTTTCTGTCTGGAACTCTGTAAGATTTCTTCTTTATCCTTGGAGTAAAGGATTCTCCCTCCTACACACACACTGTTTCCTCATAAAAACTGTAGATTTTAGTCTTTTTTCAGTTCAGGGTATTTTTTTTTTTTTTGAGATGGGGTCTCGCTCTGTTGCCCAGGCTGGAATGCAGTTGCGTGATTTTGGCTCACTGCAACCTCCACCTCCCAGGTTCCAGCGATTCTCCTGCCTCAGCCTCCTGAGTAGCTGGGATTACAAGTGTGCCACCACACCTGGCTAATTTTTGTATTTTTAGTAGAGATGGGGTTTCACCATGTTGGCCAGGCTGGTCTCGAACTCCTGACCTGAGGTCAACCATTCAGCTCAGCCTCCCAAATGGCTGGGATTATAGGATGAGTCACCATGCCCTGCCAGTTCAGGGTAATTAATTATTAATTAATTGTTTCCTCATACACAGTTCTCCTTACCCTCCTTTCTGAACTCCTATCACATCTCATGTTAGGGTCTTCCAAATCCAACTTTTAATTCTTTATCTATCCTTAAGGATTTCTTTTTCCTTTCTTTTCCTCCTGTGTGGATATTTCTTATATATCACTGTTTGTATCTAAACAGTGGCTATCATCTTACTCAATCTACACCTCTAATATTATCTTCGGGAAATCATTCTTGGTTTCAGAAAGTCCTGTGTAGGTATACACTTCTCTTTTTTTTTTCTTTAAAGTGTGTATTCTTTCAGTGCCTTTATTGTTCATAAGTATTGGCACTGTTTGGTTATTTCTCTGGTTGCTGGAACCCAGGGACATGTGTTTGCTGTTGCTGCTTTGACACATCAGATAAGGGTGTTGCCTATCAACTGCACGAAGTTCCAAGCCAAAGCGCATTCTGCCTCTGTAGAGTAGTAGCTGGGCTGCCAGTGCTTTGTTTCTTTCAGGGAGGTGGGGACCTTTACTTCCTATATTCTCTCTCATTTAGGAATTGAAGGCATAAGCCCCTTTAATTAAGCTTTTTCTTGACTGCTATGGCCCAGCAAGAGAGGAGAGGCTGAGGTCTCTGGAGATTTGCAGGTCTCTAAGGGTCGTACTTCCCAGGATGGGTCCTTTCTGGTCCTTGCCCTGGTTGCTCTGCTCCTGTTCTTCATATTGAATTCATATGTGGCCTGGCCTGTGGGGATGATAGTCCTGAATTCACTTGGCCAGTAGTAACTCCCACGGAGCCCAAGACCTCACCTGGAACCAGATATTTATCAACACCAAAAGCTGGTTAGATCAGGGGAGGTCAAAAGACTGGAGCTGAGAGTGTGGAGAAGGTAGGAAGGAAGGAAAGAGTACAGGCTGTTGTCTTCTCAGAAGCCCAAGTGTTTCTCAAGGTTGTTTTGATCCTCATCTAAATCAGAACCACTGAGGGGCCTTGTTAACCACGAAGTCCCGTTAGGATGGTGCTTAGGAGTGTCCTTTTGCTCAGCCAAGCTCCTTGGGTCACTTTGGTGCACATTAAATTTTAAGAGATGATTATTAGAGAGAATGATTCCATTTATGAACTTCCTCGGGAATCATAGGTAGTAATTTTCAGTTTCTAGAGTCTGGTAAGGACAGATGTCAAATGCTTCTAACATAGAGGTTTACTTTAAAATATAGCCGGGAGTTTGAAGGCAACAAAGGAGGGATAGTTTAGGAAAATGCAGTTGAATTTTGTGGTGATTAAAAGGAGCTCGTATTTCTTAATTTGTTAGAAACGTGAAGGCTTTTTATACAGAGGTCACACTGCCTACCTGTGAGACAAAACTTTGTTGTAAATTTCAGCATGTTTCATCATTGTGTATTTCTGGCCATTGCTGTAGGGAATTATATTAGAAAAGTTGTAAGCCATGTGAATATTTTAAAATCTTTATTAAATTTTATGCAGTGGGGAAGATAGTGTTTTTCTATAAATATTTCTAGGTTTGGATGCTACAGAGGTGTTTGCATTTTAAGTAGCTCTTCAGCAGAAATATAATACCAATTCAATGTAATAAGCTGGAATTTTTTAAAATTAAATTTTGTTTTTGTTTGAATGGTAAGAGTTCGGAAAAGTCCAGATTTAGGGAAGTAAAATAATTGGATAGAGATTAAGGATGAGGCCAGTGAATTCAGTGCATTGTTAACATATCACAACTTGTCCAACACATCATTTATGAGACCCTACTGAGTTCCATAAGCATTGTGCCCTTCCTTCAAGGATTGCTTTGTTCCAGTTATGAGACCCAGGGTAATCCTCCAGTTATACTCCAATGAAGAGGCACTCGGGCTATCAGGTAGGACAAATGGAGCAGAGAAGGCAGGAAAGACTTATTGTGGAATCGGTTTTCCAGTCAAGGCTTCCAGGCCAGGCTGGAGATGACTTTCAATCAACTGTCCAGGATGCTGGGGATAACAACTCAGAGGGATCAGCACTCTCAAAAGCAGATCTGCTTAATCAAGCAGTGATTCTCCTGGGCTGGACTGGGCTGTGCTGGCTAGGCTGGGCTGGGTGCTGTGTTTTGGAAGAAATGTTCAACAACAGGCCCTAAGATTGTAAAGGAATTCAAATAGTATTTCAAGACACATAGGTCTTAAGAGGTCATTGCTAAATTTTGAGCAAAGAAAATGTCAGATTGGTATATTAGAGAGCTCACTGAAGGAATTAGAGAAATTGGGAGTCTGTAAAGTTCCCGTCTATGTGTAGGGTCACACTGAACAGTAGCCTAATGAGAAGTTTCTTTTCATACTGAGCTTACACTCGTTGTGCAGGACAGGGTTGGAAATTCCTACATTTCCTAAGACCTTTCTACATTTTAATGCTAATAGCAATTCAGAAAAAATTTGGGAGTCAGTTATTTTATGTCTGTGAACAAAACATTAATTAGAGAAATCAGTGGTTGAGGATTAGATTACTCTGTGGTTACTTACATTTCTTCTCTCTTTTTTTGCATTTTGTTTTAAAGCTTTTTTATTGATCATAATAATTGTACATATTTATGAGGTACATGTGATATTTTGATACATACATAGGATATATAATAATCAGGCTGGGCGCAGTGGCTCAAGCCTGTAATCCCAGCACTTTGGGAGGCCGAGGCGGGTGGATCACAAGGTCAAGAGATCAAGACCATCCTGGTCAACATGGTGAAACACCGTCTCTACTAAAAATACAAAAAATTAGCTGGGCACGGTGGTGCGTGCCTGTAATCCCAGCTACCAAGGAGGCTGAGGCAGGAGAATTGCCTGAACCCAGGAGGCGGAGGTAGCGTTGAGCCGAGATTGCGCCATTGCACTCCAGCCTGGGTAACAAGAGCGAAACTCCGTCTCAAAAAAAAAAAAAAACACCAAAACAGGGTACTTAGGTATTTATCACCTCAAATATTTATGGTTTCTTACTTTTGGAACATTTCAAATCTTCTAGCTGTTTTGAAAATAGGATGAATTGTTGTTAAACACAGTCACCCCACTGTGCTACTGAACACTAGAACCTATTTTTTCCAACTGTATGTTTGTACCTATTAGCCAACCTCTCTCCCTTTCTTATTCTTCCTAGCCTCTGGTGCTTGCATTTCTTCGATGTAGTAAATGTTTTAAGTTCTTTGAAACTAATCACTCAGGTACATTTGTTAAATTATGTAATAATTCTTTCCAAAAAGAATTGAGATCATCAGTATATCTATATAATCTATAATGCTGCTTATACATCATTTTAAAATTATCTTTGATACAAGTGTTTGTCAACATGCTTATTCAAAAGTATTTTATAAATAACACAATGTAAGTTCTGAAAAGTAATAAATCTATATATTTTCTAAATACTAATTTAGAATTTTAACTAATTAAATGAGCTCATTTCCATTCAATCTAATTTAGAAAATCTTAAAATGTCTTTTTCTCTACATTTTCTCAAGGTTTTCTTACAATTGAGGTGTAAAATTTAATACAGAGTTTGTTTCTACAACTCCCCACAGTGACATGAATCGTGTTTTATTGCTGGTGGTATCTTCAGTAAGGAAATCATTCAGTATTGTTTTTTGGCTTTTAGTAATGCTGTCTGAACTACTAATAGACTTCTGAGATGTGTGCCAGTAAAATAAATATAATTTAATGTTTACTTAAAGCGCACATAGGATTCTACGTTGAAAACCTCTTAAGAAAATGTAGTTCAATATAGCTCAGATATAGAAACCAAATGACATAAATATAAGAAATTGTTTTATTTCAGGACTATGTAATATTCAGACCAAACTAGAGCTCCAACTTTAAGAGTATAGTTTTACAGATTTTAATATATTAACAGAATATGGTACTATGTAGCCTTTAAAATTGTTTTTAAAAAAACGATGCAAATATGTGAAAAATGGTTGTGTTATAATATTAACTGAAAATGTTGAGGAAAATAAAGTACTGTGAATGTGAGTCTACAAAAATGTATATCTGATGGCAAAACTATGCTTTTAATAAATTTTCCAATTTATTAAAAACAGTTGGAAATTAGCTTTATCTCACTTACTAGGAATCATTAGATGGATCAGCCTGACTAGAGCACAATGTGAGGTCAGCAGCTGGTTCTATGTTCTCTGTTGGGAGCCACTAATAATCCCACTTTGTTTCCTTTGTCTCAAAATGGACAGCAGCAGTGGGGGCGATGACTTGGACCTCACCCACGTGCTTCTGCAGAAGTTTAGAGATCAAGATCTGCGCTGTACAGATTTAAACCCAGACCAGTAAGTATCAGGTGCTCTCTGCAAAAGTGAACACTGCCGACTGGTAACATTTACAGCCTGGGAGGATCGTTTTTCTCCATGATTGGTTATTTCATGTCGCAAATTTACATTATAAAAAATGAAAATTAGCCTAATGAGTAGGTTATTACTGAATGGGCCTTATGGGTATCGCCATCTAAAATGACCCGAAATAAACTACATAATTAGCCCCTTTTCCCTTCGTACATGCATGCTTTGTATTATTGCAAAATGAATTAAAAACTAATAGCATTTAATTTGTTTAATAAAACCCACGGCTCAAAAGAATGAAGTAGCAATTAGGTCTGACTTAGGTATTAGCTGTTATTTATTTACTTTAGAGAATACTTATATATATCAAAAAATTAATTATAATTATTTTTAACTTAAAAGACTTAAAGGTCAGTACTATACATCAATGTGGGGTGAATGACTTTGAAAATTATCTTTCTAGTATTTAAACATGGTTATTGTGATGACCTTTCTATGAAACCTGGATAGGGGATGCTTTTCTTAATAAACATTTATTTCCCTCCTATTTTGCTCAATTGTTATGTATTGAATATCTACTACAAATAAGATGCTGCTGTAGGAACCAAGATTAATGAGAAATATGTCCCTGATCTCAAGGATTTTATAATTCTGGGTAGAGCAAATGAGGCAAGTGATAAAAACCATAATGATGTATCAAGTGCCAGAAGTGTAGGTTTTTAAGTAGTAAATAGTAAAATCTAACAATAATACAATATTGGCAATATGTTTTCTCATTTGTGATGACATATTTTGCCCATTAGTCATATTGGTAATTAGTGTGAGACTGAAAAACTATTAATGTTCTCAGTAAGGAAGAATTAGTAGATAATTAATTATGTTGCTTCACTCTAGTCTTCTCTTGCAAAACAAAGTAATCTATTTAACTGAGGCTTCAATGGTAATATTTTTATTTTTCTTCTCTCTGATGAAACACGTTGTGTAAAATACATCTACCTTTGAAAAGTACAAATGTAACCTAAGGCCCCATGGGGTCCAGTCCTGGCCCAGGATGGCATCAAAGAAGAACCAGTTAGCAAAAAAAAAAAAAAAAAAAGTTATTTTATCTAGTCTTTAGAGAGGAAAAAACAAAAGGGAGAATCAATGATTAAAGGACAGCAGAACACCTTGGATATTTTGTTTGGACACATATTTTACTTCCAGTTCCTTTCACATGGGTTACAATAGAGCCCAGATTCTCCTACTCTCCTCTCCTCTCTCTCTTCCGCAAGCTCCTGCCCTCCAGCCCAGTGTGCAGATCAGCCTCATTGCTTCTCTTCTTCATCCTTTCTTTTACCTTCCTGGATTTGTTTTTGTGTTCTCCCTTTTCTTTGTGAAATCACCAAATCTATCCTTGACTCATTTCTATTTTTAATCATTTCTATCTATTTTTGTGATCAGCATAAAAAGGCTGGGGGAAGTGGTACATGAAAAGATGCTGGGAATACTTGTATTAATAATGTATGTCCATTTTATACAAATAGGGCTTGATTCACTGGGACCCCAAATCAAAGCAAAAAGTTTTACTTAAAGGCTCTAGATTTCCTTCTGTAAGTGTAAAATATTGTTGAATTTGATTAGGTTTCCATTTTACCTCCTTAGAAGACTTGGACAATCACTTGACAATTAACTAAAGGAAGCATTTTAAAATAATAGATTGGATTCTGCTGATAGGTTGTTTTTCTGTTGAAATATTCAACTCTGAGTGTCAATTCAAGGGTGCTATGTTGAACTTCTGATGTGTACTGCTCTCTCATATGAAGACAATCAAGAGCTCTAGGAAAATCCACCGTGGTATAAATCTGATCTAAAGTACGAGTTTATCACAGTAGTGGGTGATGCATAATTTAAAAGTTAAAATGCGTTGAAGTTGCCAACTTTTACATATTTAGCTTCATTTTAGAAGGTTTACATTTGGTGACAATTCAGTGTGAATTCTTCGACTATTTCTAATGCGAAACGGTCACTTTCCTCACCCATCCATCTTAATGCTTTAATACAGGACAAAGGTGGTAGCAAATCTTCTACTACTGTCAAACTTAGAGAGCCCAGTGGGGAGATGGGTAAGGCTTATTTTTGTAATTAAAAAGAAAGTTATGATTAGATTGCAGTGATATAATCATCTCGGCACTCAGGAAAATCTGGAAGGTTCATATTTAGCCAAAAGGGATCTTCAGAGCCTGGTATGGCTGGGGACAGATTCCCTCTGAGGGGCCTGTAAAGATGAATGCTGAGGTCAGGAATCAACAGTGTAGAGAGTGCATACCAGGCATTGTGATAGAGGGGTTAATATGTGACCAGTCTACCTGAATCCAAATCTCAGCTCCATTACTTATTGGCTTTGTGACCTACCCAACTTGTGGAAAATCTCTCTGCTTTTCTTGTTTGCATCAGTGTGTTCCCACTTCTGTAGGAAGAACACTCACCTCAACAGCAGAGTAGTTCTTGTGGAGAACTTTTGTTCTCTTAAGGCAAGTTCCTGCCTCGGAAAGCTACTCTCAAGACAGTAGATCCTTAGAGCTTCTGCCTCTCTCTTCGAGATTTAAAATGCACCTTAGGCAATTGAAAACTCCACACAGCCCTGTAGTGGAGAGAGCTATTTCATCCAGTGTATCCAAACCTGAAGGACCAAATGACTCTGCTCCAGCAGCCTCGCTGCGGCTGTGTCCCATAGGCCACTTTAGGGAAATGCTTTGCTTAGTCAAAGTGTATTTTTAGATTCCTAAGCTTTAAAAGATAAATTATGTAGATATGTCTGATTTCTCATAAATCATCCCCTCATTTTGTCACTTTTACAAACATTCACACAGCTTCCTAGTGAATCTGTTTTAACACAAACGTTGTTGGAGGCTGAGAGGTACTCAAAAAACTACCAGTCATGGGTCATTATGCACCTCTCATGGACATATATTTTTACTCTATGAAAGGGAGCTAGGAGAATAATAAGGGAGGATTTGGAAGAGAAAAAGAGGACTGACCTTTTGAAGTCATTTATTGTAAACACTTGTTAACCATCATTGAAGGTATCTGAAGGAAGAAGGGTCTGCTGAGCTTCAAGAGTATAGATGGATTTTTTAAAAGTACACATCAGATATAGTACTCTGATTAAATACATAACTCACTTAGAGATTATCTCCATGTACACTCTTAAGTTTCAAACTGGAGTCCCTATAAGCTAGTCAGCCAAGAAAGTAGTGTGGAGAAATCGTTACGTTATTTTTGTTTTTAAGACATTGTACCTTGCTAACCTGGTTAACAGAAATGGCAAGTTTCTTTTCACTGGACTGTGCTTTCTTCAATGGGTGTCATACTGGCTTTCTCACTGGAGCAGCACACATTTTGCATAGAGCTGGGATCTTGACAGCTGCTTCACCTTTCTGGACCTGGCTCTTCTTCTGAGAAGCAGGTCTAGTAAGCATGCTGGTAGAAATATCTAGCCGGTGCTTGTAATTCAGTAAATGCTACTTTCCTCCCTTCTTTTCCATTTTTTGAGTAATTAAGAGTAATCATCATTACTAAAACAAATTCCGATTTACAAATGCTAAAAAAATATTTTAGAGTATGGGACTCATAATGGAATAAAAACGGTTGGGAAACTACGGCATAAAAACATGTTTTTGAGCCACTGCTACAAATGGTTTTCCTGTTTCTGTTGCACAAACTTTCTGCAACAGAAAGTTGAAACAGAAAGGTTTAAAATGGAAGTTTAAAAATTGTTTTTCTTTAAGTGATGATTAAATTACTGTGTCTTGCCAGAAAAAGGAATTAGCGTCTTGCTGTGTTTATTAATTGCTGCTTGGTACCTAGTTATGAGACTGGAAGCCTCACGTTGCACTAGGAGCCCAGCCTCCCCCACCAACACCTGTCCCATGAAAGTCCCAGGGAGCCCCGTGATACACTCAGTACAGTGAGAAAAGTGAGCCCCATGTAATATAATGGAAATGCTGGCATTGTAATAAAACATTGTCATCAGATTAACAGCTCAAGCTGTGAAAACAAATGTAAGAACTCTGCCTTCTCGGCAGTAGAGGATGATTATCTTGTGAACTCTGCTCGAGTCTGATGGAACTCTCTTTGATGGAAATACAATGGTTTTGTAAATCTGAAAGATCATTCCAATTCTCTCCTTTGTTTTTTAGGAAGAATTCTTCATGCTGGCACACAGATCCCTTTTCTCACCCAGAATTCCAGGATTCATGTGGCTGCCTGGTAGGTTTCTGCAGCATTTTTGATCTTTTTAAGTCTAAAATTTCAAGTGACAAAATTGTGTTTACTCCATCTATAAAATTTCCATATTTGTAACTAAGTCTCTATGACTGTTTGGTTTCCTGGATTAGTTGTTTCTGGGAAAAGTTTCATCACATAAAGTGAATATTTATAGAACACAGATGCTGTATAGATTGACAGTGCCCCTCTCCTTCATTGCCTACTGACTTTGGTCTTTAACACCCCCTCTGGCATTCATTAAGAAAATTAATCCTCTTCAAGTAATGATAAGGATGCTAGAATTGCCCTATGGAAGGAAATTTTTCTAAATTTCAAGGCAGCATGACCTCAGGGCTCTTGCCATGTTTTTATTTGGGCTAGATATTAACAGCTAAGATGCCCCTTAGCTCTCTGACTATGGCTGACTTATACAAAAACATGTGGAAATAGGTGTGCCCCTATTGCGGTGAAAGACATCACTGTCTAATCTGTGAAGCAGAATAAATTGAAATTTATTTGGAAAACTGATTGGAACTCATCTCAAAGAAAATCTCAGACTCTAATTAATAAAAGGCATAGACCTGTTAGCCACAATCAACAAACAAGTATGACAGTCCTAATTTACAGGAAACAGGGAAAAGAAAAAAAAATTGAAGTTAATTGAGCATCTATAATGGAAATGGCCACTTGGAGAACATGTTTATAGGGCCTTCCTGTAGTGGCTCATGAGATGCAATTCTTCTTAATAGTTGTCAACCTAAGGAAAGAAACTGAGACAAATTAATATAAGTAGAGAGTTTATTTGAGCCAAGGTTGAAGACAGCTATGTGGAACACACTTCCAAGTTATCTTTGGAAGTGCCCCAGAGAACAAAAAAGCTCAAGTGAAATGGCCTCATTGTCTAGGGTGTCACCTGAAGTTCTTTGTCTCATGGCCAAGGAAATCAAGGATGTGGACACACCAAAAGTGAGCTTAGAGTAGAAATTTAATAAGTGAAGGGAAGAGGGAAAGCTCTCTGCTGCAGAGAGGGATCCCAAAAAATGATTGTCATTTTAAAGTGAAGTGCAAGGGTTTTTATGAAAAAAAAAAAAGCTAGCAGGGAAGGGTGCTGCATTTACATGGGGCTAGAAAAACTGGTTAGGACTAGGTGTGTCATTTGCATAAGGTGTGAATCCCTGGCAGTCCCCACCCCACCTGTTTAGTGCTCAGGCGGGTCCTTAGCCTAAGTTACTCCATATTGCTTGTGTCCTCCTACTGCACATGCTTTAGGGGCAGAATCCTTTGTATTCGTCCACTTTCATGCTGCTGATAAAGGTATACCCAAGACTGGGCAATTTACAGAAGAAACAGGTTTATTGAACTTATAGTTCTACATGGCTGGGAAGGCCTTCACAAATGTGGAAGTTGAAAGGCACTTCTTAAGTGCAGCAGCAAGAGAGAATGAGAGCCAAGGGAAATGAGTTTCCTCTTATCCAACCATCAGACCTCATGAGATTTATTCACTACCATGAGAACAGTATGGGGGAAACAACTCCCATGATTCAATTATCTCCCACTGGGACCCTCCCACCACATGTGGGAATTATGCAAATACAATTCAAGATGAGATCTGCGGGGGGACACAGGGCCAAACCATATTACCCTTCAAGGTGGATGTGCCTGGCTCAGGGTAGCTCTTCTTATCTATAGTGTTGCAGGCATGTTCCAAGCAAGCCCCCTGTGCAAGCTTTATCTGAGTATGTCCAAAAAAAAAAAAAAAAGGAATGTGCTCACTGGGGCCCATGGTATGCCGGTGAAACTTACTGACTACACAGGAGGCCCCTTTCTGTGCTGGAATTCGTCTCCCTATCTATGTTTGCAGCCGGAGCTTTCAGGCTGCTCTTGGTTAGAAAAGAAATCCCACCAAAGAACTTGCCGTAACTATCTCCCCAGCCAATTTCTTCCTTTCTTCTCTCTCATAATTTATTAAAGAAAAAAGAACAAATCAGGAGAGTGGGTGATTACAAAACTTGTTTGTCAGGGATTCTCGTTGACATTATTAGGTTACTTTATAGCTCTGGTGTGGCACTCAGCCTAGAGTCCATATAGCGAGCTGCTTAGAACTGATTGCTTAGCTCAAGGGGGATGGGGTGGAGTGTGACTGCTGTCTCACTGCAGTGCCTTTTTGGGCCTGATTATTTAAAGGGAACTCACATTCCTCAGATAAAAATTTTTTTGGTTTTTGTTTTCTCATAGTTTAGAGATTTTAGAAAGCTTGCTTTTAGAACAACTAGTCTGCTTTCTTCTCTTAGACAAAAGATACACATCTAAGAGGTAATAATGACACAGCACCTTTAGGGGACACTCAGAATGTTGGTTGATTTGGGAGAGCTAATGGAACTCTGCCTGTTTCCCTCTTGGCCTCAGCTGTCAATATACTCAGCTACATTTAGTAATCCTTTGCAGTGACCAGCTACCTTTTTTTTTTAATAGACATAATTATTGTTTTTTTCCCTAGTCTTGTTTTTCCATTTATTCACTTTAGGGGCAAAGGGAAAACTTCCCTTTCACCCTCTGAAGATTCACTGAAAATCAATTGACAAAAGGCAGGTTAATTGGGGAAATATCATACAAATGTGTTCATGTATATGGGGGGATCGCATCAGAAAGTAATTACCCCAAACCCCCAAAGAGGTACAGAAATTTCGATTCCATTTTCATAGGGTAGGGAGGAGATGGGGAGTATGGATGGTTGTTAGAGAGAAAGAATGGGTCAGGGAGACAGAAATTAACTTGTAAGTGATTCTCTTGGAATTTGAGTGAGCCCAAAAGTCAGGCATTATTTTGTGAAAAAGTCCATCCAAGCATGGTTGCATTCTTTGCTCCTCTTTTCTGAAGTAGATAATGAGATTTTAGGGAGGTGATTGAGAACCTATGTTTTTTTTTGTTTTTGTTTTTTTCTGGTACAGAGTTTTTTGGTCAGAAATGGAAATTCCAAAGAGAATTGGAATGGAGGAGGAGGAAGACAAGGTTCTAGGGACCTTGATTCTGAGGTTTATTTCTGAGGCCTTTCAATTTATAAAAATGCCCAGCATACACAAGCATCATGTTTTGGGGGATTGTTTTCTCTGCCCCAACACTCATGAAATCTCGAATTATTTACACCACACTCTTATTCTCTAGCCTTGATTTGATCATTCTATTATACTAGTAGCTTTTAGTACCACCAGCTACTTAAGGTCTATTGGGATTAGACTGGGCAAATATCAGAATGATTGGTGTTTATATTTCTAAATTCACTTCAACTCACAGGAAGTGTAAGATTTCAGTAATATGTAAGAAAGAAGGTTTTACATGAAAAAGTTCCATAGTCAATTAAGTTTTACAAATTCTGGATACAGCAGTATTAAGCAGGTATTTTTGCCATAGCTCTTCTAAGAAGCTATTTGGTGATAATGAAATTGTCCTTGAATTGACTGTGGAACAGACACAGCGTTTTTTGTAAATTTGACTGAATAGTCCTTCCCTTTTATGGCACCTATGTTTTTTGGGATGTACTTTGAGAAATGCTGGACCACATGTTAGAAATCAGAGAACTTCAGTAGAGAGGGAGTTGAGGTGGAATTAATCAAAGTTCTAAGGAATGCGTGTGGCTAGTCTTCTGGGTTGGCTCAAAGGAGATGTACAAAAAGATGTGTGAAAGGAAGGCCTATATACCCAAGGCCCGGTCCCTGGTCTTTAGTGTTCATGTTGAGCCAAGTTGACTGTGTTTTGTCAGAAGGAAAAATGTTTCTCTCCCCTCGAATATATATGTGCTATCCAGAAGCCCTGGGTCTGCAAGGGCATGTCCATTTCCTCATATTTAATTTATCAAAGATGTTGTGACTCTCTCCAAACCTACAGAAAAGTTCCATGGTTAGTTCTTCTGAGGATGAAGACATTATTTGGAAAAGGCTCAAAAGGGAACAGGAATTGAGCTAATCCTAAAGAACAAACAGGGATTGTTAGGGCCTGAGCTCTCATAGATAACGACACTGTGACCCAATACATCAGGAGCGAGTGTAGCTTTATACAGAGTAGGTGGAGGGTTTCTTGTGGCTGAGTTAGTAAATTACCACACACTTGGTAGAGGACAATCTGTCCTTTTCCTCCTCCAGCTTCTCTTGCTTCCAGCCTTCCTTGGCCTCTGGTCACATTACACACATGTCCAGCTCCATTGTCACATGGAGTGTCTCCTCTTCTTTCTCTGTCTAGTCCTCCTCTGCTTCCCTCTCACAGTGGCACAGGTTGTAACCTCTACAAGCTGCTCGCTGCTTGTAGAAAGAGGCCAAAGTAATAACGAGGTGATTAAAAGAGAGCAAGACTTTATTATCTGTGCCAGCAAGGGGAAGCATAGAAAGTAATTCCACTGTAACTTGTGGAGGAAACACAGGGGTTTTTAAAGAAGGGGTTTGGAATACAGAAGAGGCAGGGGTGGGAGGTTGGTGGTTAGCGGGAGGGTAGAGCTAGGAGATCCCAGGTGGGGTCACTTACTCCAGTGGTTTATCTTGAATTATTCTTGCATTTATTGAAGAGGCTGACACCATCGTGGATCCTGCCAGGTTATAAACTAATTACAGTCAATCTCGAAGTCAGTCGTCAGCTGTGAGTGGGTTCCAGCCTTGAACTAACCTTTTGTTGGAGACAGGTTTTCAGAGGCGTTTCATCCATATCAGGATTCAACCCCTGAAGCTTCTAAGGAAATGATATGACCAGATACGTGAGCATGGTATGTGGTTAACAAGCATCTAGGCAAATAAATGTGCTTAAGGCATGGGGGCATGAAGTGGGAAAGGAAAAAGAAAGAAAACATTTTGAGGCTGTAAAGTTCATCACAGAGCTACATCTTAAAACTAGGGAGGAGAAGGATGAAAAGGGAAAGGATAAAAAAGTCTTAAAATGCAGTTTGAGGCTAAGCTGGTAAGCAGCTCTGTTACAAGGTGACTGCATGAAGGTGCACTGTCAGAATCCAGGATAATCTTCTCGACTCAAGATCCATAACTTAATAACATCATTGGCTGGGTACAGCGGCTCATACCTGTAATCCCAGCACTTTGGGAAGTGGAGGCGGGCAGATCACCTAAGGTCAGAAGTTCGAGACCAGCCTGCCCAACATGGTGAAACCCCGTCTCTACTGAAAATACAAAAAAATTAGCCAGACATGGTAGCAGGTGCCTGTAATCCTAGCTACCCTGGAGGCTGAGGCAGGAGAATCACTTAAACCTGGGAGGCGGAGGTTGTAGTGAGCTGAGATTGCGCCACTGCTCTTCAGCCTAGGCGACAAGAGTGAAACTCTGTCTCAAAAATAAATAAATAAATAAATAAATAAATAAATAATAATTTCATCAAGGCAGCATTTAAAGATTCCAGAGATAAGGGTCTGATATTCTGGGGAGGGGGTATTTTTATTCAGTTTAATACAGAGAGTGTATTTGGGGATACCTACACAGATAATGGTTAGAATGAGACAAAGGACATTTTCTAGTAGACCTGAATTCTTGATAAGAATTAGAATTTTTTTTTAGCAAGAGAATCATCTAACTGAAAATAGCATTTTAGAAGGATATATCTTGATGGGTCTGGGGGTTGTAAAGTGAATTGGAGAGAGGAAATCTCAAGGTAGGGAAAGTTTAAAGGTTGTTATGTTCATCAAGTTTGGCTGATTTATTTATTTTAATTGACAAGCAGAAATTATATATATTTGTGATTACAGGATGATATTATATGTCATGATATTATATATATATGCACACACACATACATTACCTCATGTACTTATTGTGGGGGCTCAGGAAAACTTTCCCTTCATCCCCTATAGGTTTGCTAAAAAATCAACTCGTAAAAGGCAGATTAATTAGAGAAAAAGCATATGAATTATTTTAGCATGTACAGCCGGAGAATCACAGAGTGCTTATCTACCCCCCAATGAAGTTCAGAACTTTATGTATCATCTCAAGTTTACGGAAAGAATAGGGCCTTGGATCCTGGGAAATCGGGTTATGGAAGGAGAAGAAGACGAAGTCTTCCTGGAGCAATAAAGGATTTCAAGGGAGAGTAAATGGATCTGGGAATAGACATTATCTGTTTAGGTATGGTTATATCCTTGGTCTTACAGGGAAGAGAAGAAACAAAACAAATATTCCCCTTGGTGAGTCTAGATGTTAGGTAGGTAAAGGAATTTCAACTTCATCCTGTGCTTTGGGAGAGATAGTGGGTGGGAGGGAGATCAGAGACCTTGAAGCTTCTTCAGCTCAGCGTGTGAAAGCACCATATTTTGGGGTATTGTTTGCTGAGCCTCAGCATTACTACTTGTGTACATGTGTGTTGAGGATACTTAAATCTACTCTTTTAGTAATTTTCTTTTTTTTTGAGACAAAGTCTCACTCTGTGGCCCAGGCTGGAGTACAGTGGCACCATCTTGGCTCACTGCAACTTCCATCTCCCAGGTTCAAGCGATTCTCCTGCCTCAGCCTCCCAAGTAGGTGGGACCACAGGAGCATGCTACCACACCCTGATAATTATTATATTTTTATTAGAGATGCACTTTTGCCATGTTGGTCAGGCTAGTCTTGAACTCTTGACCTCAAGGGATCTGCCTACCCTGCCTCCCAAAGTGCTAAGATTACAGGCATGAGCCACCTAGCCTGGCTTTTTTTTTAGCAATTTTCAAGTGTTCAATATGTTATTACTAATTGTAGTCACCATGTTGTACAATAGTCTCTTGTACTTTTGCCTCCTGTTTAACTGAAATTTTGTATCCATTGACCAACATCCTCTCTGGCAATCACAATTTTACTCTGTTCCTGTGAGTTTCTTAGATTCCGGATATAAGTGAGAGTTTGGCTGAATTACTATTTACCACAATTATTATTCTTTTTAGTATCATTCCTCAAGCCTTTCTATCAAGGCCCTGAAAGCAGTACCTTAAATGTATATTGCCCTTTTTATTTTGCCATAGTTCTTTCATGTGTATCATCTGAACCTAACAGCAAATCCATGCATTTAGGTAAACCTGTTTTTATTTTCATTTTGCAAATCAGAAGACAAGTTTCCGAAGCTGAAAGGAATGTGAAAGTGGTCTAAATGTCTCTTAGAAGTAATATTTATGATTTTTTTGAATAAACGTAGAAATGGACCCTCCCTGGTCTTAAAACTTGAAACTTACATTTGTCTTACCTAAGTTTCTTTCTCAAGAAACTGATCCTCAGGCAAGGGACTGAAATACATCAGATCCCTACATTCAGCAAATGAGACTCTGGACCCGTCATCCATCATGATTCCTTCCTTACCCCTCCCTCATTCCTGCTTTCCCACTTTCCCTTTTATATAACCTCACCAGTTTTAGTTGATTGAGGAGATGGATTTGAGACTTTCTCTTCCATTCTCCTCAGTTCTAGAACTCAGTTAAAGCCTTCCTCCCTGGCAACACTCATTGTCTCAGTGATTGGCTTTCTGTGCAGCAAGACCAAACCCCTGACATTTTGGTAACAAAATATTCAGAGATAGAGTCGTTTCCTCATTTAATATATCATCTTTTCCAAAAGAGTTTGAGAAATGGAAACAAAGCACATTAATTCTAAAGCTGGTGTGGCAGGTCAGGGCACATCACTGCACAGCCTCCAGTGGCCTGGGTGTTTTGTTGTGTTGATCACCACCTCCTACCTTGTTAAGTGAGTATTCCATGATTCAGAGCTGGTGCTGGCATGCTGATGAGTTGCTGGAGAAGAGCTGTTTGATTTCTACTTTAGACACTTCTGAAAGAGACACACACATTTGAATTCTCCTGCTTATCTTCTTCCCACTAGTTGTCTCTGGCTCTCTTTCAGGTTCATCAAATGCAAGATCACCCTAGTGAAAACATTTGTTTTTTCTTTTTGGTTTTTATAAACCTGCCCAAACTTACACACAGAAAAGGATTTGAAGTTCTCTGATAACTGATTGCAGAAGTCACAGTGGTATTCTGGCATAATTCTCAAATGTAGGTGACTTTGAAAGAGATTTTAGAAATCAGAATATATAAAAGGCAGCAGATAATTTATTAAAAATGGAAAGCTAGAGAAAAAAGTGAATCAGTTTATGAGTAATAAAAAGTTTTTGTTTTTATCTTTTTGAAAACAATTTCAGAAGTGTCCAAATAGAAGTGCCAGCGCTCCCTACCTGACCAACCACCTGGGCCACACACTGTTGAATCTCTCAGGCTTCAATGTGGAGGAGTACTTGCTGGCACCATCTGAAAAACCAAGGTGTGTTCAATGCTCTTGCTGGGTCTTTTTGGATTACTATGGAAAACTTATTGTTTTAAATGCTGATGTTCTTAAATACTCAAAAATCTAAGATTGACCTTGGTGCTCATAAAAATTCAAATAAATAGCATGGATCTTAATACAATTCCTTACTGCTGACTTTCACTCTTTTACACACTGGGGGAAATCCTGTCAATTGAGATTTGTCAGCGGCAGAAATGTGAGAGCCCAGAGCAGTTTTACTGCTTTAGGGAATAAGAGCAGATAAGTCTACAGCATAATAAAAGAAAGGCCTTCTTTTAGAATTCCCTCTATTATGCATCATTCAATATGGGAACCTGGGTACAACTAGTTCTTGAAATTCCTCTTGTGCAATTTTTGGGAAACCTTTTGTGTTGTGTTGAATTTCCTTGAGCCGAAGAAGGTGAATCCAGATGAGAAGGATGGGCAATGTGTGCTTCTCATTGCTTTGAATATTAATAGCATCTGTCTACTGTAATTTTTCCATTTCCCCAAATGTATTATATTGCTTCATGTACGAAGGCATTTCACAGGCTGTCTGTATTGCCTGGGACATCATCCCTGCCCCACTGGGGTTTGCCTGCCTCTGTTCTGCTGTCCCACATCTTCATGTCTTTCAACATATACTAGAATCTCTGATTTTCTGTTCTAACTCTGATGGTTAGCTTTTTTTCTTTTTTCTTTTTTCTTTTTTTTAAGATAGAGTCTCACTCTGTTGCCCAGGCTACAGTGCAGTGGCACAATCTCAGCTCACTGAAAGCTCCATCTCCCAGGTTCAAGCGATTCTCATGTCAGCCTCTCTAGTAGCTGAGTCTACAGGTGCCTGCTGCCATGCCCAACTAATTTTTTTTTTTTTGTATTTTTAGTAGAGATGAGGTTTCACCATATTGGTCAGGCAGGTCTCAAACTCCTGACGTCAGGTGATGTTCCTGTTCTGGCCTCCCAAACAGCTAGGATTACAGGCATGAGCTGTTGGTTAGCTTTTTGAAGGTGGGAGCTTGTGTGCCCAGAACTTAGAATATTATCTGTCACATCAAAGGTGTTCAGTCAGTATCTATTGAATGAATGAATGTATTTAATTGAGCCAGTTGGGAATGTGTACTTATTTCTTTGCCTGAATTTTTGCTAAGAGTACAACACTGTGATAGAATAGAAGATTATTCTTCAGTCTCCTTTTGTCTAGTGAGTAGGAGACAAAATTTATTTATATAATAGTCAACATTATATTTTTTAAATGTTAACTACATTTTTGAAGTTTAATAGGTACAAGATACTGTGCAACTCATGGAGATGTAAAAATAAAAGATTTAATTTCCACGCAGGAAAATTCATGGGGCTGCTTAAAGATAAACTAGCAAATAGACCCAGTGTGGTAATTGGTAACAGTGGATGGAAATGCAGGATATTGTGGGAACTCAAAAGACAAGGAGCATCTTCCCCACCTGAAATTGTCTGGAATGCCTTCCTGAACCAGGAAGATTTGAGTAAAATGTTAAAGAAATAGAGTAGGGAAGACAAACCAGAGTAGCTCAAAAGATTATGTCCACTATTAAGAAATCCTTTATTTATTTATTTATTTATTTATTTATTTATTTATTTATTTATTTATTTATTTATTTTGAGATAGAGCCTTGCTCTGTTGCCCAGGCTGGAGTGCAAAGGCATGATGTCCACTGTAACCTCTGCCTCCCAGGTTCAAGCGATTCTCTTGCCTCAGCCTCCTGAGTAGCTGGGATTACAGGTGCCTGCCACCATGCCCAGCTATTTTTTTTTTAATATTTTCATAAAATACTAAAAAATGACATGGTTTTTCCATGTTGGCCAGGCTGGTCTCGGACTCCTGACCTCAGGTGATCCACCTGCCTTGGCATCTCAAAGTGCTGGGATTACAGGCATGAGCCACCATGCCTAGTCTAAGAAATTTTGAATAGTGGATTTGTAGAGGAAATGACGATAAATTATTAAAATAATTATAGTGCTGATGGTCCAGACCTCTTTGTTACACAGCATATATTTCCTAACAAGACAGTAAGAGGTGACAAGTACACTTTCTAATGTGGCCAGCCTTATCCAGACCCTCTCAATTATCAGTGGCTTCCATTTTACTTGGCTTGGTAGTTAGGCAACTTCCATCAGCACGGCACCTCTGCCTGTGTGTTCATGTCACAGACCACAGATGCTCAGCTGGCTACTGTCCTAAGATTGTTATACCTGCTGGGGTTAGTAATGAACACCCTCTGGTTAGAGGTCCTGGTGCTCTGTGGTTGAAGCACTAACACAATGTTCATTGTTAACAGGCTTGGAGGTTGGTCTTTTGGAGTACGAATCCCCAGTGAAGCTGGAGGTGCATACACAAACATATCAAAACCCCAAACTCTGGCAAAGGTAATCATATTCTTTTTATTTTTTTTCTGTTTTAGAAAGTATTTAGGAAAACTCAACGTTCAAATATATTTTTGAGCACAAGGTTGGGAAGGACCAGATTAAATGCCAGCATTTGTTACTAAGCATTAAGAAAAATTATATGTAAACATTGTCTTGAAAAGAAAATGACTTGTTTTTTTTTTAGAAATAAAGCAAATAGGTTTCTGCTTTTTGTTAAGATGGGACTTCACCTCGTAGATATAAAGTGGAGGAAATCTCTATTTTTAAAGATATCCATAGTTGTGATAATTGGAAATATCACTAGTTTCTTTGCTGGCCAATAAGTTCTTCCATACATGAACGTAAATGCCTCATCTTCCAGAAGGCTGGATAGATATGCCTGCAGATGACACAAAGAAAGCAGCAGTTACATAGAGCTACTCTTAGGGGTTCTGAATTTCCAATCCCTGCCAGAATTATTCCTATGAATTAGGAACGGTCCCCTCGGAATTAGAGAGATGAGGTTGGGGGGTTATTCAGTGAGGGAATGAGGACTGGAACAGAGGAAAAGTGCCTTGATCCATCAGTAGGAATACAGAAATGGTGTTGTTTAAGGAAAATAGCCAACACTACCTTAAAATGGGCAGAGTGGAAAGATTCAAGGCATTCATTCTCCATGACTAGAGAAATAGTATTATGTTTGATTGAGCGAGAAACTGGAAAAGGGTAGATTATGGGAGGAAGTTAAGTCCTCTGCGGGAGAGTGAGTGCGAGTTCTTGCTGGGACATTAGTAGACACATTTCATCCTGTAGGGTGTGGGTGTTGTGTCTACTCAGTAGCCCATTGTGGAACTGTGGGGACAAGAACAATCTCCAGGAGCCCAGGAAGGTATTCTCTCTCTTCTGCAGTGGGGACTTTCATGGTTCATGTGAACCTGAAGAAGCTTATTGGGATAAAGACATGAACATGTTGGAGATTTACTCAGTGAAATAAAAGTTCTTATAGGCACTTCACAGTGTCATCCCTGATGAGACAGTCATACTTCACGATATAATCCCTAAACAGAATTTTAAGTCATACATTACAATGTAATCACTGAGAAAAATTTTCAGTCATAGTGTGGACGATTCAGAAATTTCTCCAACAGCTGAGATTTGTTCAAATCTCTCTTCCTTCTAAAGGCAACACACATGAAGATTTAAAGCTCGATATGAGAATATCATTATTCATAACTTGATAGAAAAATAAAATATATTTGCTGACATATATTGGGACACATTATGTGGCCATTATAAAATCATACCTAGTTAGTAGAAGGAATCTGTTCATTTCCTCTATGAATATTCTTTTTGTAGAGGAAAGGTGAACTTTTTAGTCTATTCCAATCTAAACCCTTCTTATGTATTCGTGGGAGACAGCTGTGTCTTTGCTTTGAAGTCCTCAAGGCACGGATCTCTTGTTTAGTTGATGAGTGGCCGGGGATTTGCATGTTCCCCTCACATCTCTCACTTTTTGTCTTTGTTTAGTTAGATGAGTCTTCTGTACTGACATGTTTCAGTGGTGATTGCTGAAGTTTTTAATGTCATTTACGTGTCTTGTGATAGGAAGAAGCATGCAGGTGAATTATACCTGACCTTCTGGGGACTGAGCTCCTCTCCCGCAAGCCATGGAATCCAACATTGCTGTGGGGCATAAAGGGCAATCTGTTATTTGAAATACCCATCAGCTGGCAGCTGATATTGCATAGAAGGATTGCATTTTCTTTTTGTAATTAATGACCAGCTTTTTCTTTCAGCCTTTAGGCTACATTCATTGACATAGATGATATGATTTTCATAGGCTCTTTGAAGGAAAAATGAAAAATTTTGAATTTTTCATATGAATAGGCTTAATGTATGGTTCATTATCTTGTAGAATGTCTCTTGTGTGACCTTTGAGTTCTATCATTCACATCTTAAGTGTTTAGCTTGTTTAATCAAAACACTCTTTAGAATTTATACACTTCAGTGAAAGAAGCCAAAACAAAAGTCCCTTTTGTTTTTTTGCATACATTCTGTTCTCCCATGGAATTTTTTACATTTGAATATCCACTGAGGGTTTTTTTTCTTCTTAACAGCTACTTGGTTACTTTTCTGAGGAGCTGTTATTACTGAGATGAAAGGATTGTTTTGCGATGTGAAAATATGTTCCAAAAAGAAGATTAACTTCCTATTTCATTTATTGGACTTTATCACTTCCTGACTTATGACTCTAGGTAGGGAAGGAAATCCCACAGATTATTTCCAGAACACAGTCCGTTTTTAGAAAACCATTCTTGGGAGAAAAAGAAAAAGAAAGAAAAGCTTTTTCTTTGAACTCTGCTAAGTCCTGAATGCTAACTTTAAGATCATCATAAAGTATGCATTCATTACTTAAAGAATTTATAAAACCTTTCCCAAGTAAAGGTCAATTTGTAAAGGAACCGATCAGGAGTTCAAGAACAGTTTAAAATCTGTTCCTTGGAACTCTGCAAATCAATCATTTATTGCCAAAACGAGGCTATATAGCAAACAACTGCAAACTGTTAGTAGCGTTGAGAATAAACATGCATTTAGCTCGTGGGTCAGTGGGATTGTGCTGCTGTGGGCTGCGCATAACAGGTGGTGCCAGGCTCTGCTAGCCGTGGGGAATTTGGGATGCTCCTTAGCCAGGCTCTGGTTCTGCGTCCTGGGAATGTTCCCCAGCTCATCAGCTGCAATGACCCTTTGCTCTACCAGGTGCTTCCCCTTCCATTGCCCTCCATGGCTATGTGTGAAGATACTTGAAAATATGCCTTTTGAGCAGCTCTCAGCCTGCTTCCTGCCTGTGGACAGCTGGGCTCTCAGAGCTATTTACATTTTATGTGTAGTTCGGCCTGGGGTACCTTCTTGATATAGCTCCCTATAAAGCACTCTAGGCTTTCTAGTTCTCTGAGGTCCACAAGCCACTCTCATGATCTTGTTGAGATATGCTGCTCTCTCTAAAATTAGTTAGTGGCATTTTGGGATGGGCAGAGTATTAGAGGACAACACCCTTTATGTTCCTAAAAGCGCTGTGTCCCTTGAGAGAGTCCCTTAGCAGCATTGCTGTTTGAAGAGCTCAACAAAGTTCTTATAATTGCACCCTTGACATGACCTTTCTTCTGAGGCCATGTCTTTCAACATTCTCTCTAGAGATCTCCATATCCAGGTCAAGATGTTTATTGGGCAGCATTTCCATCTTTGAAGTTAGTATAGGTGGCAATATTACCCACTGTTTTCACACTGTAATATGCGTCACCATTTTTTCAGTTATCTTTAGCAGTTTTTTAAAAATATTTTCCCCAGTATTCCTAAATATTTTATCACGTATTTCCAGGCTTCTATAATTGTCTGTTTGTCCCCTGACTTGCTGGTCTCAAAAGCAATGCCACCTGTTTTCAGGTTTTGGTACAGCAATACCCCATTCCAGTGTAAATTACTGTATTGGTATTCTATTGCTACACTAATGCTCTATAACAACAATTTCAAAGCTCAGTGGCCTCTACAGTGGACATCTGTTTAGCTCATGGGTCTGTGAGGTTTTGCTAATACAGGCTGGGCTGGGCTGATTTTTGCCAGGAACGATCATGTGTGTGGTTGGCTGGCCGTTGGCTTCAGCTGGGATGACTGTGGAGGTCTCAGCTCCACTGTTGCATCTGACCCTCCCGCAGGTTAGCCTGGCCATACTCCCATGGTGATAGCAGAGGCATATGGGAGACTTCAAGTACATACATGTGCCTCTCAAACCTCTGCTTGTGCTGCATTCTATTGGCCATAGCAAGTCACATGGTCAAGCACAGCCTCAGAATGGGAGGGTGGGAACGTCATATAGCAAAGCATGTGGACACAGGGATGGTGAAAAACTAGGGCCCTTAATGCAATCAAGGACAGAAGTCTCAGAAGGCTCAGGCCACTTTGGGATGAGTAATCCCAGCACTTTGGGAGGCCGAGGTGGGCGAATAACCTGAGGTCTGGAGTTCAAGACCAGCCTGACCAACATGGAAAAACCCTGCCTGTACTAAAAATATAAAATTAGCTGGGCATGGTGGCTCATGCCTGTAATCCCAGCTACTCAGGAGGCTGAGGCAGGAGAATCGCTGGACCCTGGGAGGTGGAGGTTGTGGTAGGCAGAGATCACACATTTGCCCTCCAGCCTGGGTGACAAGAGTGAAACTCTGTCTCAAGAAAATACAAGAAACAAAACAAAACTAGAAGTCTCAGAGTCTACAAGGGGTGAGGTGAGGGAGGCTTGAGCAGGCAGCCTCCTGTCTTTCCAGCTCCATTCTGCCAAAGAAGCTCTGCTTTTATTTCTGTACTGTAATGTGGTATTATCTTTTTTAAAATCACTCTACTTAAAAAAAAATTAAAACAAACAATAAAACAAAATTAGAAAAACCTTAATTCAGGGCAAAGAATTGTCTCCTTTATTTTTTTCCATCATTTGAACAGTTAGGGAATCAAGACTTGGGGGAGAAGGAGGTCACAGACAGGGCTAGTGGGAGGTTAAACTTTCCACAGTCAGTGGGCTTGTCTACGACATGAGACTGTCCCTTGCCTTTACCAGAATCCTAAGTTTCTATCATTTCCAGAAATGTGGCTAGTGCCTGTGCATGTATTTGTGAGGGGGCAGGGTGGCATGGGTGAGACCCCAGAGGGTGACAGTACAGAATTGTATGGGTGGAAGACATGGACACACCTCTGTTATATGACATTAGCTCCTTCAGTTCACTATTGACTTTGCCATCAAGGGAACTTGGAATTTACCCTACTTTGGATAATTGTGTGTCTATGTTGCTTTAGATTTTTTTTTTTTTGGTCACAAAATCCCACTGTTTAGACATAGCTTTGAACACTCAGTTCTCTCAGTTCTGTAGTTAGTAGCTCTCAAGCTGCTCTTCTTCCCCCTAAGGTTTAAGATAATTATTGGCAAGGATTTCTCTGTGAACTTAAGAAAATATTTTAAAATGTATGGTGTGAAAGATGGGGTCTGCTTTCTGAATTGCCTGAAGAAACAGACTGTTTGAGAAAGAATTAGGGAATATTGTCTTGTATAGCAGGGTTTTGTTTTTAATTTGTCCTGTTTTTGTTTTTTTAGCTATATAATCGATATTTTGTTATTTAGCTGTTTCCATGAACATGATAGCTGCCACACAAGACTCTGGTTAAAAAATAATTAGTATAGCATGAAGGGGTGGAAAGAAAATTGATTGGAACCCTCAAGTTGGAAGGGATTTGAGATCTGGTCCAAAGTTTGCAAAAACTATGAGAACTTGAATAGGTTTCTCCAAGCATTAACTCTCTGTGGGGGAGCTCTAATTCTATCAAGTGGATTGTCTGTCACAAAAGGCAGCCTTTTCTAGAGAAATGAGCTGTTCAGTCAATTGAATTAATACCAAAATGCATCAGCTGGATTCATCATACTTCTTGAAGACACTTGCTTTTCAAGTTGAGAATCTATTTTTCATTTTTATTAAAATATCGATACTTTGAAATACAGATACTGATGGTTTTATTAGTGTTTTTTATGATACTTCTTATTCCAGCTTTAATAACATTGTCTTTCTCTTATTTTTACCTTTCTCCTCTCAGGCGTGCTACTTTATTCTCCATGCTCAGCAAATGTTCAGTTCAGTTTATTTTGAGAAATAATGTTCCATGTTCAGTTATTTGAAAGTAATCATTTTTTTCTGATCATCTTCCACACTTTTAATTTGCAGGTCAAATTTCATTAGCTTACTAACTGAGAAAGAAAAAAATGATAGGGTTTCATTCCTTTTTTCTTGTAAGAATATAATTATAGAGCAACGTCCACATTTGTTCTGGGGAAAATTAATCTATTTTTAGCTGTAAATTATATGCTTGAGATAAATATAAAATTAGCAGACTGGAATTGACTGCTCACTGTCAGCCATGCAGGAACATTACTTTGAATCCTGCACTCAGGTGCCTTGGAAGTTAATTGACACATACGTTCCTTATACCCCAGAATAGCTGACAAGCAGACTTAACTAATTTCATAAGAACCATTAAATTATTTTTCTTTTTTTAGGTGTGGTATAATCAGAAGGGTTTTCATTCCCTTCCTTCCTACTTAAATCATCTAAACAACCTTATTTTGTGGCAGCACCTACCCGCTACTCTGGACTGGAGACAATACGGTAATGTTATTTTTCATGCATTATAATTCACTGCTTTCAAAAGACAATGTTTTAAAAGTGAAGGAAGTAGAAAAGGTACTGAGTAGAAATGTGAGGAGCAATGAGAAGGTTTCAAGTTGGCAGCCAAGCCGTGTCTAAACACAATACAAAGTCATAGGCTTTCTTTGCCTTTGTTTGTGTGTCATTAAATGTCTTTACCTTCTTGAACCTGTGACCTCATCTGTGGGATGAAGGGAACAAAATGTGACTTGAGAGTTTGCCCCTAAAATTATTTTATTCTGTGACTTAATGTCTTACAGAAGCAAGAAAAATTTTACTTTTTAAAGACAATATTATACAATACTGTTACAGAGAATACAGACTGTCCCTCTGCCTTATCATCGGGAAGATGAACATCACATTTTGATTTATGTGGAGCCCTCAATTCAAAAATTATTTATATTGATCATTGATTCATTATCTATGCTTTCTTATTTTGGTAAATGGCACAGGTCCATTCCTGGTATCCAAAGTTAACTTATTGGTTTAAGTGAATATTTCTTTATTTCACTTGGATAAGATAAATTATAATTTGTTAATTTAATTCAGTTTCTTTTTTAAAGAGAGGAAAGAAACAAGAAGTATAAGCAACAACAGGCCATGTCCACCACAACTTATTCTCAAAATGTATTTGTTGAAACATTAATTCACATACAAATCAACACTAAACAATTTTTCTAATATGCTGTTACTTTATTTCAATCATACCATATTTGTTTTTCCTTCTATAACAGTTTGTGAACAAAGTAAATGTAATTATTTTGTGGTACTGTAATTATTTTGAAATGATAATATGTAATATAAAAAATTAAAAATGTACATAACTGAGAGAAGTACAAAAATAGTACAATAGTCATACAGAGTAGGGACAGCAGAATAACATATATCAAATGCCTGAAACATATCAAGAACTTCATTAGATATTTAAATTCATGGTCTTATCTAATTTTTATGTCAATTTTGTAAGATGGACAATATTTGCCTACTTTATTGATTGGAAAACTGCTTTTCAGAAAACATCACCTATCAGCTATGGCTTTGAGCAAGGTAATAATGGGGTCATGATTGGATTCTAGGTCTAGCTGATAACAAACTTTTGCTTTTCTACTACATCAAACTGAGACGTCATTCTAGTAGGCATGAATACAGCATGGTTCATAGAGGAGAAGTTATTAACGATGGAACTTAAACAATGAGCAGAAGTTTAACTGAGGTCAGAAAGCCATTCTGGGTCTTAGTAATGCAGTAACAATCATAGGGTATGTTCAGATTATGTGGAAGAGTCTGGTTTGACCTCGTGATAAAGGTGAACATAGAAGGATAATTGTTAATCTCTTCAGAACGATTGTTTAAGATCAAATGCTGCTTGGCTTTGACTGATGTGATGAGGAGTATGGACTTTAGTAAGTGATAGACAGGGTTTACCAATATGTGAGCATAAGAATGACATAATCTATGTAATATGTTAGGAAGAATGATCTGGAAGTCATTGATTAAAGGGAGAGGACTGGTTGTAATTCAGTGACCTATTGGAAGGATACTGCCAATTTTGAGATCAAGGCCAGGATGAATCCTGAGGAAAAAAAAAAATGATAAATTTCAGACAGATGGGAGAAAAGATTGAGGTACTAGGGATGGGAATAAAAAGGATATTAAGAAACTAAAATATAAATACGGGCATTTTAGAGCAAATGTTCAATACTAATGATATTATAAGAAATGTCAGGGAGAAGAGATGTTTTCAAGGAAGGGGCAAGGTGATTTGTGCAGGATCAGAGATGCTAGTTTTGTTCACATATATAGAGGAAAATATGCAGTAGAATTCAGAAAACGAGAGAGAAAAGTTCAGTAGAGTAGTCATAGGTAACCTAAGTTCTAACCTTAATAACAAATGATAGATAAAGGTGTTGGTAATATGAGATCCTGCATGGGTCAGTCACAGACGCAGGACAGAAGAGGGCTATGGGTAGACAGAGGGAAGAGGACAAATACTCTGCAGCCTTCAAGGTAGGAAGATCTTAGCGTGGAGGCCAGGAGAGGGCAGAATTTCAAGCAGATGGGCAGGAAAAATGAACTATTACAGGGTCATCCAGCAGAAGGAGAATGAAGAGGTTTTGCTGCTGACCTCCAGAGGGCTAGTTCAATGGTGTTTCAGAAATGGAAAATTAAAGTAGAAGGAATGAAACAGAGAGAGGTTATTTGAAAAACTTGAGACTAAATAGATAAATTCCAGTTTGACTTGTTTGTGCATCATCATGGGAAAGCAAGGCTTGTGCAGTAAATTAGGAATATACTAAACATAGCACCACAGGAGGATGCGTTGGGAGTTATTATCAAAATATTGATAAAGAACTCCCACGAGCAGGACTCTGATGAAAACATTTTATCACATCCCTTGATGCTTGCTTGTTCCTATGGGAAGTGGACAGAGCTAGAACTATTAGCTTAATAATTATAGTGAAACAAAAGCTTTCCCTGATGTGAAACTTCAATAAATCCTATGAAAGCAGAAGCTGTTTCTTGCTCACCGTTGGTCTCAGCAGTCCCACAGTACCAGGCTCAGGGGACATTGAGGCTATACCAGGTAAATGTATGGATCATTGTATTACACGGACAATGTGTCATATTTCTCATCAGAGTGGTTTTTGATGGGGTTTCAGCCATGTGCACATTCTAATATTAGAGATTTCTGAACCCTGATGCAGGCCACTTGATAAGAAGCTATTTTCTTAGAACCCAGGCTGGCCATTTTTCTCTGCTGAGTAAATTTGCAGCTTGTCAGAGCCCTTAATTTTTTTTTTTTTTTTTTGAGACGGAGTTTCGCTCTTGTTACCCAGGCTGGAGTGCAATGGCGTGATCTCGGCTCACCGCAACCTCCGCCTCCTGGGTTCAGGCAATTCTCCTGCCTCAGCTTCCTGAGTAGCTGGGATTACAGGCATGTGCCACCATGCCCAGCTAATTTTTTTGTATTTTTAGTAGAGACAGGGTTTCACCATGTTGACCAGGATGGTCTCGATCTCTTGACCTCGTGATCCACCCACCTCAGCCTCCCAAAGTGCTGGGATTACAGGCGTGAGCCACCGCACCCGGCCGGAGCCCTTAATTTTTAACATCAAACTCATTGTAAATCTGAATATTATAACCATTCAACCGGAGTCAGTTTCTGAAGTATTGGAAGGCTGGTACTGGCCTAGATGAAATAGATGTGGTTTGAGAAGTGAATCTCCAAGGTAAATCATTTCCTCCTGCATGAACATGACTGTAGTTGGGGTGTTTCCTACTTAGTGAGTGCAAAAGTTGCCAAGACTTTCTTAGGTGAAGAGAGGGAGAGTTTTGCAAGTACAGCAGGCACAGTTTTGGGAATACATGTAAGGGATGAAAAAAACATGAAATACATTTTCATATCAGAGACCTCTTTTCCCTCTTTATGCTCACATCAGTAACTTAGTCACACTTAATGTCATATAATATTTTTCAGAATCTCAAGGAAACTTAAAGCCCATTGAGGACAAAATCCTAATCTTGATTGTGTTTTGTCCCGAATATTCCTTGGTAAATCAGCAAATCTCATCTCTTCTGCCCTTGAAATCCTGAATGTGCATATTTTCAGTATGTTACTACTTCTCACCTGGCCCATGGTACCATCCACTCCTACCCTGGACGCTTGTACCAGCTGATTTTGTGGCTCACTGGGGCCTCCCTTGCTCCCTACCCTAAAAGTCTCTTCTCTGCGTAAGTGCCCACCATCACCCCTGGAATGTATCTGTCAGATCACAGCATCCCCTCTGGCTTCCTATGTCTCTTAAAAAAAATTCCTAACTATGACCTACCAGTTCTCCCTGGCCTGGGCCCTGCAGCCTCTCCAGCTTCATCTCAAACCACTTATTCACAACCTTGCTGAAATTTCAACTCCAGCCACACCTGACTCCTTGCTGTCTGTTAAGCATGCCACCTGTTCTCCCATTTCAAATCACAGTTCCCTTTTCTGGAATTTTCTCTTCCTCATAGTTACATGGCTTGCTCACTCACTTTCTTTTAGGTTTTCCCAGCAATGTCCAACTAGGGTGAAATACTGAAAACACAAAAACAAAACACAAATCCAATTTGATATAGCCATCACAGATGACCTTGTGTAACTCTTGGATGATAATCCATGTCTGAGCATCTTTCTATTCTGGTTGCTCTCTTTTGAAAGCATTTTTGTCAAGATTCCACTTACATCGATTCAGCAATAAAGTCACAATCAAGATGTTGACATTTCTCTGGGAAAGGTATGTCTAAAATTGTTAACATTGCCCTTCTTGCCCAATACTCAGGACTGTTAATGCCTCACATATGTGTTCATGAAAAAGACCACACTTCTAAATTTGCATGCACTAGCTGCTCCTGACCTACCATTTCAGTCTTACCTCTTCCTTATGGCCCCTCACTTTCCCCTCAGTGCGGCTGGCCTTTCCCTGTGAGCCTGGTAGCTGCATTGCATATGCTGAGACTACCTGTCTTCTTCTGCATCACCTTAAGCATTTCTGCTCAACTTTTTGAAAGTTGAGCCCATCTCAGACATCACCTCCATTGAAATACTCACCACCCTTGCAGGATGAGTTAATGTCTTCTCTTTCTTCTCCCACAGTTATTTGCTTATAAAATTCATCCATTTTTTTTTTTAGCAAGCATTCATGTAATGGCAGATATTTCCCAGACACTGTGTTAGTGCATTTCTGTACTTTAAATGTGTCCCCCTAAAGTCTGTGTGTTGGAAACTTGGTCCCCAGTATAACAGTGTTGGGAGGAAGGGCCTTTGGGAGTTGCTTAAGTCATGGGGGCTCCACTCTTATGAATGAATTAATGTCAGTATCTCAGGAGTGGGCTATTTATTGCTGGTGCCATGCCCTTGGACTTCCCAGACTCCAGACTGTGAGAAATAATTGTTTTCCTTTATAAATTACCCAGTCTCATGGCCA